TCTATAAATTGTATGTCTTTCATGACCACTTTACCCCTCGAACCTGCCACTGTTTTATTCTCATGTATCAGTTTATCTTTTAACTTTTGCTTACTCTGCTTTTGTGAAAATTTGCTTCAGCTAAGTTCCCCCTCCCCTTCAAAACTAGGGTATAAAAGACCACCTAATTTTTCTTAGGGGCTGAGAGAATTTGGGGCGTTGGCCACCTCTTGGTCGCTGGCATAATAAAGGACTCATAATTTAATCTCAGAGTGTGGCACACTCCTTGACCCGCACGGGTACAACATGTGGATAAAGTCATTTTTATTTTTGATGACTGGTTTTGTTTCAGTTGTGAAAAAATAATTAAGCTGATCTGTATCCTAGCAATCACTTAAAAATTTTTATGTTGGCTGGGAGTGGTGGCTCATGCCTGTAATCCCAGGACTCTGGGAACCTGAGGTAAGAGGATCGTTTGAGCCCAGAAGTTCTTTTGAAGATGTATTTTAGGGAGGAGTGGAATGTTGCAGAATATTTTGGGAAGCTGAGCACAGTGATCAATGTCATATTTGTTTTTGGTTTTAAGGTTAAATTTTTTACTTTCCCCAAAGCTTTCTTAGTCCTTAAAAAGTTTGTATTTGATTAAAACATTATTTTTAAAATGCTATTGTTTTAGTTTTATATGTTTTCTCCTATAAAACTTCATCATCTAGGTTTAAAAGTTCAAATTCATTGCATTCTGTTAGCTTTTTATATCTTGGGATATGATCCTTTCTTCTTGGGATCTTTAGAAAGGCTGCGGGGAAGGATAGGTTTTGTGTAAGCCCAGAGAGCTTTTTCTCATGTCTTTATGTTTGTTTCTGACTCACCTTTGAATGTTCCCCAGCCCTTTCCTCTTACTGAAATTTTGTTCCTTCATTAAGACCCACGTTAAAAGACAATTTTGTCAGAGAGCCTTCCCTACTCTCCCAGACAGAAAAATCTCTCCTTCCTTTGAGGGAGGACTCTACTTAACCCTTGGTTCTCTTTTGTCCTAAAATTAACTGCCATGTGCCATTCTATCTTCTTTTATGCTAGTTCTGGATGGCAGAAGTGGTCTCACTCATTCTTGTACCCCTCAAGACCCAGTGCTTGTGCCTAATAATCACCAGCACTCACTGAGCACTCCATTTGTGCCAGGCCTACTCCATTCTCACAACCCGGTGAGGGAGGAACTATTATTTTCTCCATTTTACAAATGAGTAAACTGAGGCATGGAGAGGTTGTATAAATTGCCTAAGATTGGCCGGGTGTGGTGGCTCACACCTGTAATCCCAGCACTTTGGGAGGCTGAGGTGGGTAGATCTTCTGAGGTCAGCCTGGTCAACATGGTGAAACCCAGTCTCTACTAAAAATACAAAAATTAGCCCAGTGTGGTGGCACGCACCTGTAATCTCAGCTACTCAGGAGGCTGAGGCAGGAATAGCTTGAACCTGGGAGGTGGAGGTTGCAGTGAGCCAAGATCACGCCACTGCACTCCAGTTTGGGTGACAGAACGAGACTCTGTGTCAAAAAATAAATTAAAAATAAATAAATAAATTGCCTAAGATTGCCCAGCCAGTAAATGGCAGAACTATTCTTTTGACAATGTATCTTCTTCCTTTTTTTGAGGCTGGGTCCCACTTGGTCACCCAGGAGTACAGTGGCATGATCATGGCCTGAACTTCCCAGGCTCAAGCAATCCTCCCACCTCATCCTCCTGGGTAGTTGGGACTTTAGGCTCACACCACCACACCCGTTAATGACAGTGAATCTTCCCATTGATTAGATAAGCTTAAGGTTTCCTTTTGTTTCTTTTTTTTTTTGAGACGGAGTTTCGCTCTTGTTACCCAGGCTGGAGTGCAATGGCGCGATCTCGGCTCACCGCAACCTCCGCCTCCTGGGTTCAGGCAATTCTCCTGCCTCAGCCTCCTGAGTAGCTGGGATTACAGGCACGTGCCACCATGCCCAGCTAATTTTTTGTATTTTTTTGTATTTTGTATTTGTAGGCTTATGCTGACTACTCTAGATTCCCACCAGTGGATGCATTAAAAGTTCCTATGGATAAAAAAGTAGGGCAATTGGAGAGCTAATAATGAGGAGTACTTTCGAGTGATGAACAGGTTGGATTCTGACAATTCCGCTCCAGGACCCTGGGGTTGAGTCAGCAGGCGTGGATTTCTTCCACCTCTAATGCTTACTTTATCTTTGTGCTACTTAGTATTTCATCTTTTAAATGGAGGAAATAGCACCAATGCTTCTCTGAAGGGATTACACAAAAGAGTTTTAAAAATGGATATGATTTTATTGTTATTATTATTACCATTTTTGTAGTATCTAAATTCTATGTGTAATAGTGTTTCTATTAAAAAAATTTTTTTTCTTTTCTTTTGTTTTTTTGAGGTGGAGACTTGCTCTCTTGCCCAGGCTGGAGTGCAGTGTCACGATCTCACTCACTGCAACCTCCATCTCCCAGGTTCAAGTGATTCTCTTGCTTCAGCCCGCCAAGTAGCTGGGATTACAGGCACCTGCCACCATGCCCAGATAATTTTTGTATTTTTAGTGGAGACGGGGTTTCACCATATTGGCCAGGCTGGTCTCAAACTCCTGACCTTGTGATCCACCCACCTTGGCCTCCGAAAGGTTGGGATTACAGGCGTGAGCCACCACGCCCAGTCTTTCTTTCTTTCTTTCTTTTTTATTTTTTTGAGACAGAGACTTGCTCTGTAGCCCAGGCTCCAGTGCAGTGGTGTGATCTTGGCTCACTGCAACCCCTCCTTCATTGTCTCAAGTGATTCTCCTGGCTTAGCCTCTGGAACAGCTGGGATCACAGGCATATGCCACCGTGCCCAGATAATTTTTGTATTTTTAGTAGGGACTGAGTTTCACCTGGTCTCGAACTCCTGACCTCAGGTGATTCACTCACATAGGCCTTCCAAAGTGCTGGGATTACAGGCCTGAGCCAACCTGTTTCCATAGGTGCCCAGTCTATGAAAAAATTTTTTTGAATTTAAAAATGAGATTATAAAAGCAAGTCTCAGTCAGGTAGAGTGGCTCACACCTGAAATCCCAACACTTTGGGAGCCAAGGAGGGAGGATTGCTTGAGACCAGGGATTCAAGTCCAGCCTAGGCCCCTGTCTCTCCAAAAAAAAAAAAAAAAAAAAAATTAAAAAATTAGCAGGACGTGGCGGCGCACTCCTGTAGTCCCAGCTACTCAGGAGGTTGAGGTGCAAGGATTCCTTGAGTTCAAGAGTTTGAGGCTGCAGTGAGTTGTGATGCCACCAATGCACTCCAGCCTGGATGACAGGGCAAGACACTGTTTCTGCCTTGGCTTTTACTCACACTATGTTGTAGAGGATTCTGGAAACTTGAGGTCCCATTGCTTTCCCTGTTGGCAGCGCAACTGAGGACTTGCCAGTTTCAAGCTCTATGGCCTGGAGCACAAGAAAGAACAAGCGAGGTCCAGGAACTGAGGAAGTTGAGGAATAAGAATCTGTGCTGGAGAAATGAATGTCCTGCTTCCCAGGCACACAGACTAACTTTTCATGTTAGGCCTTTCCCCAGGCTATGGTTTTTCCCTCTTCAGTGCCAGCCTGAAACCTAGGGGCTTTTCTCTCTGCTGCCGTGTTAAGCTGAGCTCCTGCTTCTCTTTTCTCCTCCAGCTCCAAGAATAAGTCAACAGCTCCGCACTGCCTACCTTAGAGTTAATTGTGGAAATCAAATGAAATGCTGTGTAAACTCTACAAATGCTCACTGCTATTGTTATTTTGAGCCACTTTAGCATATCTAGAAGGTGGGCTTAGTCGTTAAGGGAGATTTCCAGTTAAATGACACATTTAACTTGTTATTTAGCAACACTAATTATTTAATATACTCTCCAAAAACTATTAACATGTTTTACCAGTTTATCTTTTTATTATTCTTAAGAACTCTAAGAAGGCCAGGCACGGTGGCTCACGCCTGTAATCCCAACAACTTTGGGAGGCCGAGGTGGGTGGATCAACTGAGTCTGGAGTTTAAGACCAGCCTGGTCAATATGGTGAAACCCTGTCTCTACTAAAAATATAAAAATTAGCTGGGTGTGGTGTCATATGCCTGTAATTCCAGCTACTTGGGAGGCTGAGGCATGAGAATCATTTGAACCTGGGAGGCAGAGGTTGTGGTGAGCCAAGTTAGTGCCACTGCACACTAGCCTGGGCAACAGAGTGAGACTCAGTCTATTTAAAAAAAAAAAAAAAAAAAGAACAACCCTAGGAAATACATACTTTATTTATTTATTTATTTATTTATTTGAGACAAGGTCTCACTCTGTTGCCCAGGTTGGAATTCAGTGGCAAGATCATGGCTCACTGTAGCAACTCTGCAGCCTCAATTGATCCTCCCACTTCAGCCTCCCTAGTAGCTGGGAATACAGGCCTATGCCACCATGCCCAGCTCATTTTTACATATATTATTAGAGACGGGGTTTTATCATGTTGCCTTCGCTGGTCTTGAACTCAGACTCAAATAATCCACCTGCCTCAGCCTCCCAAAGTACATGGATACTCACAATTGTGAGCCACCACATCTGGACTACATACTCTAATTTTCTCCATTTTACACATTTAAAAATTAAGGCTAAAAGATTGAGTAATCTGCCCAAGGTCATCGATTTTATAAAAAGCAGTGCTGCGGGTAAAAACTGATGCCAAGCCCGTGTGGTCAACCACAACATACAAGATTTCAGACAACCGATGCCTCACATTCCTTCTCCACTTCACAACTAAGTTGGCATTTCCTTTCACTGACCATTTTAATACATTTACTAATTTATCAGTCACTAATATTTTGTTATTGCCAAACACCAGTTATCTCTTTAGTGTTACATGGGGTGGGCTGGAGCAGGCTAGGGTGCTAATTTGTCTCTATAGTAAGTGCCCAAGAAATGACAGTCTCAAGAAAGGCTGGTAAGAAATGCCAACTTAATGTTTCAAATAAAATGGAAAAACTGAAAAGTACTTACTCATTAAAGTAACTGGTGATTTTTAAGCATCTCTCTCAGTTGATTCTAGATGTCGTCCCTAGTTTGCTTTCTTCCTCTCCTGTAGATCATTGTGGCCAGATGGGAGATCTCAGAGCTTGGGCTATAAGGGAAATAAGTTAGCCTCTGGGTGCTGCTATGCTTTCAAGCCAGTGTCTGGGGAGAAGATGACATTTCCGGTGGCATCTGGGGCAAATGGCAAAAACGAGTCAGCATTTACTTTCTTGCTTTAGGAAGCGGAAGACTAGTGACCGAAGCTTCAAGATTTTGACATGTATGAAAACACGAAATGGTAAGTCAATACAAAAGACAGCATCTTCCTGGAATTTGGTTTTGAGCTTGTTTTCATTTCACCTTTCTCAGTAATCTGGGTGTAGCTTATTTTGACTCTTCCTTTGATTGAACAATTCAGACCCTCGGCTCTTATTGTTCTTGCTGGTATGGTGCGTTCACAGCTGAAAAGGTGGTCAGAAGGGGAAAGGAGGAAGTGAGAAAAAAGAAACAAGGAAATGGTAAGAAGAACTCACTCTCCTTTTCTAACTAATATTTAATAGCAGTAATCTTGTGTTCCTGTGCAAAGTGTTGCAGTTTACAATCAACTTTTATTTTTATATGTTTATTTATTTATTTTATTTTTTTGAGACAGAGTTTCCCTCTTGCTGCCTAGTATGGAGGGCAATGGCATGATCTCGTCTCACAGCAACCTCCACCTCCTGGTTCAAGAGATTATCCTGCCTCAGCCTCCCAAGTAGCTAGGATTATAGGTATGTACCACCACACCCAGCTAATTTTGTATTTTTTTTAGTAGAGACCAGGTTTCTTCATGTTGGTCAGGCTGGTCTCGAACTCGCAACCTCAGATGATCTGCCTGCCTCCACCTCCCACAGTTCTGAGATTACAGGCGTGAGCCACCGTGCCCGGCCAATTTTTGTATTTTTAGTAGAGATGGGATTTCGCCATGTTGGCCAGTCTGATCTCTAACTCCTGACCTCAGGTGATTCACCAGGCTTTGCCTCCCAAAGTGCTGGAATTACAGGCGAGAGCCACTGCACCTGGCCACAACCTGCTTTTAAATCCTTTCACTTCATCTCTCCACTGCCCTCTTGATGGAAGAATAGCCCAGTCCACACTACAGGAAATCACAGGCCTGAGCCACTGGCTTCAGTAGACACAGCGCGTGGCAGAGCAAGACAAGAACTTTCTGCTTCCTCCCCTAGTGTTCTACTTGAAACCAGCAGGTAACTCAAGGGGACAGCGTGCTTAAAAGGGAGATGGTCAGCCGGGCACGGTGGCTCAAGCCTGTAATCCCAGCACTTTGGGAGGCCAAGTTAGGTGGATCACCTGAGGTCAGGAGTTCGAGACTAGCCTGGTCAACATGGTGAAACCCCGTCTCTACTAAAAATACAGAAACTAGCTGGGTGTGGTGGCAGGTGCCTGTAATCCCAGCTGCTTGGGAGGCTGAGGCAGGAGAATCGCTTGAACCTGGCAGGCAAAGGTTGCAGTGAGTGGAGACTGTGCCACTGCACTCCAACTTGGGTGACAAGAGAAAAGACACCAAAAAAAAAAAAAAAAAGTAGGGTGGGGTGGCAGGGGAGATGGTCCTGATTGATTGATTAGGTGTCGGTTTTCTTTTGTCTGGAATACTATGATTTCAGGGAGGGGAATATAATTTTCCTTACAAGTATCAAGATGAAAAAGAAAAGGAAAAAAATGAATCAGAAAAAAAGAGAGAGAGAGAAAATGAAGTTTTAAAAAGTTTTTCTCAAAACAGTGAGCCTTCTATAGGTGGTTTTCTTTTTGTTTGTTTGTCGCCCGGGCTGGAGTGCAGTGGTGCAATCTCGGCTCACTGCAACCTCTGCCTCCCGGGTTCAAGCAGTTTTCTGCCTCAGCTTCCCGAGTAGCTGGGATCACAGATGCCTGCCACCACACCTGGCTAATATTTTGTATTTTTAGTAGAGATGGGATTTCACCATCTTGGCCAGGCTGGTCTTGAACTCCTGACCTTGTGATCCGCCTGCCTCGGCCTCCCAAAGTGGTAGGACTACAGGGGTGAGCCACAACACCTGGCCTCTATAGGTGTTTTAAACACTTCAGGATATACTCAATATTCTGCATCAAATGGTACTGTTGGGGCTCAAAATATACTACCCCAATGCATGACTACAGAAGATCGGAATATGCCACCCCCAGATACCCCTAATCCCAGCTCCTTGAGAATCACTTCAACCCAGCGCTTGCAGTGAGCTGAGATTGCACCACTGCACCCCAGCTTGGGTGACAGTGAGATGCCATCTCAAAATAAAAATAAAAAATATGCCACCCCAAAGTATAGTTATTTGGCATATTTCGAGCTGATTATTCTGAGCAACAGCAGACACAGGAATATCTCTGAAAAGCTGTCCTTTTGTAAAATATATTTATATGTATAAAAGAAATCTACATTAGTCAAAGTATCTATCAGGAAGTCCTGCTCTCAGACAACTTTTATTACCTGGGAGACTTTTTATTTACATAACAAAACAACCTTTATTTACCACCATCCCATAACTTGTCACTAGCTCTCACAGAAGCCCCAAGTCCCCCTTCCTTCCTATTTTCAGGATAAGCTTCCATCATCTGGCCTTTCTTTGAGTTTCATGTGTGTGTGCATATAATTAAATATGTCTTTTTCCTTTCTTTTGTTTTTTAAATTGAGATTGAGTCTCATTATGTTGCCCAGGCTGGTCTTGAATTCCTAGAGTGATCCTCCCACCTCAGCTTCTCAAAGGCATGAGCCACTGAGCCAGGCCAAAAGTGGTTTTTCTTCTGTTAATCTATTTTGTGTCAATTTAATTTGTAGCCTAGCCAATGAGCCTAAACGGATGGAGGAAGCCATATTCCTCCCCTACAGTACAGAATAACAAGAGTAACATATTTCAAAATAGTACTGAATTACATGCTCTGAAGGCTTAGTTTTTTTTTTTTTTTTTTTAAATAGTATGCTACTTATGTAAACTGGATTATAATGTGACATACTGTCTTTCCTTGAAAAATATCATTTTACTTTATATCACTGTCTACTCAGTGTGTGGCTTAAAATTAATTCCATACATTATACATTGCTTTCCTCCTCTTGTCTATGGCCGTCAATAAAGTTATCTTGCATTTGCCCATGATTTTATTACAGTCGTTACCACGAAATTTAAATCAATCAAGGCAGAACCCAACTGATAGTCTTAGTATTTATAATTCAGAGTAGTCTGTTATATAACTTTGAAAATCTGCCATTATTTACTTCTAGCAATTCTATAAATGAATTTGCAAATCTTTCAGTTCTGGAGGTTTCAGCTAGTCTGTGCACTGTGAGAATAAAAGAACAACCTCTGTAATCATTCCAAGACCGGAGAACAGAGGAACTGTAATAATGCAAATGATAATCACACTCTTTAAACTTAAAATAAAGTTGTTTGAGATCAAGAGATTTTCAACTGACTTTCTTGCTTCCAAGAACTTATGCTCTGTGTAGACAGCTACTATTGCTACTCTAGCAACTGGTGTTATTCTGGCCCCATTTCATGCTACAAAGCTCAGTGGTCTTTTATTTTTTACCCACCAAACTTGGCTTTTTCTTAAACAATAATGACAACTTATGCACACACAAGTGTGCATAATGTTTTACCCTGCGAATGTGCTTTCACACACAGATATCCTTTAATATTAGCAACTCGTTAGTAGTTACAGCCACAGAGAAATTTAAACTTTTCTTTATGTAAGCCGTTATCATTTTATCTACATTTTCTATTTTAAGGAACACAATTTTTTTTTCTAATCTTCTTGGGAATCCTATAAGTGGGCCAGAAATCAGCCCATTAAATATATACTTATATGTGCATTATTTTCAGCTGACCAGTGTGTGCATGTGCTTAAATCTATTCCTGGCTGCCTTGAACAAATTGGACCAAATTTGGCAAATCACAAAACTATGTTTTTTCTTTGCTTATCTGACTTAAACAGTCTACATATTTTTGATAATTTATCTTCAAAGCACTCACATTTAGTACTTTCAAGCGCATATGAATAATGAATAATTTGTTTCTATTAGGGTAGAAAATCTTCTCTGATAGCATATTAAGAACTTTGAAATTCTAGATTAAAGCTTCTTGAGTTCAATTCAGTAACAGAACTAAATTCTACACTAAGTCAGTATATGCAAACTTTGTGTTGATGAGCAAGGCAATAGTTGTTGGGATTTGGGATGTTACAGATTGAGAAGAGCCAAATCAGTGATTTCACTATTCAGGATGGATGAAATGAGAAATGCTAATGCATAAAAATTCCCATTCTGTCATGATTTCTTAAACATTTCTATAAACTTCTTAGAATTCTATGTTTCATGCAAGTTCTGTATTCTGTTCCAATGTAGCTTAGGGGTTCAGAGCATGGCCTATATAGGCAGAGAAGCTGAATTTAGAGTCCCAAATTAAAAACCCACAAGCTGTATGACTTTGGGAAAGTTACTCAACCCCTCTGGCCCACTTCCCGTTGTGAAGCTTAAACATACGATGTGCTAAGCATTTTATTCCAGGGATTAGTAAACATGCATCTATGCTTTAGTAATGCAAAATAATACTTTAAATGACTAAATACTGACAAGTACCTTGTTTGATGGACACTGTCCCATTGGCTGGTGTGACATCATCACTGCAGGAACAGACTACACAAGTGGGAGGAGATGACAGAAATCATCCTTAGGTCAAGTTGAAGTTCAGGGAGATTGAGCAACTGAATCACACAGGTTAACCACTGAGCTTGGACTAAAGACCAGGCTTCCTGGGTCCCAGATTCATAGTTCCAGAGCCATAGTTCATGAATTTTTTTTCTCTAAGGTTGTAAACTCTTTTTACAGAGAATAGTTCAATACCTTACAAGAAATGGGTCTTACATTATTTAGCAATGTCCCTTACCTCTAAACCACAGGGTTAGTTTTCTAATTCCTATTCTCTCTACTTTTTTTTGAGACAGAGGAGTCTTGCTCTATCACCTATGCTGGAGTGCAGTGGCACGATCTCAGCTCACTGCAGCCTCTACCTCCGGGCTCAAGTGATCCTCATACCTCAGTCCCCTGCCAACCTCAGTAGCTGGGACCACAGGTGTTAGCCACCATG